CCCCCCTCTCCATCTGACTTACTGCTGCTGTGCACTTTTTCTCTACAGTCCCTCGCATCAATGGTCACTCCAAATCAGAGCGCACTGCAAGGGACTCGGCCATGGGTTACGACAGTGCCTCAGTAATGAGCAGTGAGCTGGAGTCCAGCTCATTTGTCGACAGTGAAGAAGATGAGGATGCTAGCAGGTAAGTTCTTCTCCAGTTTTGCCATTGAAACCCTTAACTTGGTCGCTTTGTCTTCTTTCTGATGTGATTTGTTGTTTTTCTTTTCATAAAAGCTGCAAAAACAGTGAAGAATTTGCAACAATAAATCAGACTTAACCACTTAAACTACAATCAGATATAGTGCGTGTGTTAGAAATTCATTTAAATAGGAATAGCAAGGCTAACAATGTATTATTTTGTTGAAACTGTATGTGTGTACATAGACCTTCACAGAGTTTTAAGGAAAATTCCCAATGAATATACTAAATAGCTTAAATTGCTCACTCTGGCCTTATTCATATACCCTATTTAATATTCCATCTTTTCCTTGATTTCACTTTCTTCTTCAGGCTCAGTAGTTCCACAGAACAGAGTTCGTCTTCACAGCTGATGCGCAGACACAAACGGCGCAGACGGAGGCACAAAGTGGCAAAGATTGACCGGGTATGCACCTCTTAAAACACATCAGTGCCCCTGCTGAAAGTGACATTGACACTGAGTGCTTGAAACACATGAATAAATTGTTTGAAATGGGCTTTTTGCCACTTTTATTCACAATATGCTCACTGTAACCTCTTCTTCCTTTACCAGTCGTCGTCTTTCAGCAGTATCACAGACTCCACGATGAGCCTAAACATTATCACCGTCACACTAAACATGGGTAAACCTGTTGCATCCATGCCTATTTTTTTAACGTCATAGAATTTAATGTAGAATTCATATCAATACCAAAGCGAGTCTTTGTAATTGTATTCATCCCCTGCTTTAATCTCAACAGAAAAATACAACTTCCTTGGTATCAGTATTGTCGGTCAGAGTAATGACCGGGGGGACGGCGGTATTTACATCGGCTCTATCATGAAGGGAGGAGCTGTAGCTGCTGATGGCAGAATAGAACCTGGAGACATGCTACTACAGGTACGCTTCCATAACGAGATATTTGAACTGGTAATAATTGTGCCTCGAATTTGCTGTTGCAGTGACAACATCTCTCTGAGGTTTTGCTGCATGTTAATAATGACGGTTGTATTTAGTTCCCTTGTTAAACTCTTATGTAAAACTTGGAATCCTGCCTCTCTTTTCCTTCCCCATCCTTTGTTCTGTTTGCGATGGACGCTTCCAATTTGTTGTGGCCCCGATACAAACAGTATAGGTTGTTTTATGATTGTGGGGGTTTATTCCATCAAAAGGACCTTAGGATTTGCAGCCATGTGAACCCCTAAAAGAACAGCAGAGATTAATGCGTGCACAGTATAAATGTATAAACGCATCGAAGTTCTCTTCAGAACTTCAAAATAATATTTTAGTTAGTAAAACATGGTCGAGAAATGTAAAGAAATTACATTGTTGGTTTTGTCTGTCAATCAGGTGAATGACGTCAACTTTGAGAACATGAGCAATGATGACGCTGTGAGGATCCTGAGAGAGATTGTTTCCAAAACTGGGTAAGGACTCTTTCTTGGAAGATTATTGAAATCAGATGAAATTTAATTAATATCAGAACCAATGTGCTGGTGAGTCATGGGGCTGTATAGAAAATCAAAGGATCTAAATAAATAGGAAAAGCTAGTTGATAATGTTGGACACTGTTGCAACTTTTCCTGGAAGTTGCCCTTTCGTCTTTCTTAGTCATTGTCGACTGCTCATCAGTAGAATGAGTAGCTGACATTAAAGGATTTATGGGAAATGAAAGCCATCGACGGCTTTCACATTTGACAAGTTTGATTATGTTACGTAAAGTTATTCGCAGTAGAATGACAATGCGCAGTAGATTATTCAGCTTTGGTGTTTTTAAAAAAGGGAACAAGTACAGCATATTTCTGTGTATGATTTTTCTAAGAGTAACATTTATTTTCTATGTATATCCAGTCCCATTAGTCTTACTGTTGCCAAATGTTGGGACCCATCTCCCCGAAGCTACTTCACCATCCCTCGTGGTAAGACAGACAGTGTGGTGCAATATTTGGAGCAACGCAAATGATGACCTGATAATGTTTAAACCATACCGTGTTCACTTTGTCCTATTTGTAAAAAGTTTCTCGTTTTGTTTTATTTCCTCAGCTGAGCCAGTGAGACCCATTGATCCTGCAGCCTGGATTTCACACACAACAGCCCTAACTGCACCTTACCCTCACTATGGTAAAGGTTACCTGCTGCTTTGTTCCAGTATAAAAGGTCACTTCTCAGTAACTGAACTATAAATAATGAGGTCACAATGATCAAAATTGTTTCTCTTTTTCCATCTCAGAGTTTGATGACTTGCCTCTGTCTGTAAGTAAAACAGATATGGCAACTATTGTCAAAGTGATGCAGTTGCCTGATTCTGGCCTAGAGATTCGAGACAGGATGTGGTTGAAGATCACCATTGCAAATGCTGTTATAGGTGAGAAAATCTACCCAATGCAGAAATTTATATAGAAACAGTGGCTGTATTACTGTAAACAATGCTGGTTACTTGGAAATGTGCAGACATGCATTGCATGCATAGTGATCGAAACCTCTGTGCTGAGTGTGAGCAATAAAAATAACTCAGTAAGGCTTTTTTTTCTTTAAAAAAGGGAAATAAAGAAATCAGTAGGTTTCCTAGAGAGCACAATATTAAATTACAAGACTGAAATCAATTCAAATGCATGGTATCTAAAAATATAATTTTTTTTTTTAGGTGGTTTACTCTTTCTAAACACAACAAACAACATCATATAAGTTGTTTTTTTTTTCAAGTCATGTAGACTCTTTTTTTTTTTTTTTTGGTTTGTTTTTTCTGAAAAGCATTAGCATCGTAGTTCTAGCATTAGCTCCACTAACTTCATTCAAAGGTTTTGCAGCATTGTGCTGCTTGCCCTAACTATTGCAGTTGTGGTCGATGTGTGGTTGCTGCATATAAGTGGTATTTTTAGCATCTGTTCCACGCATCAGGGAACTGAACTTCATGTCCACGTGTGCATTCTTTGCCATGCTAGGTGCTGATGTAGTGGACTGGCTGTACTCCAGAGTGGAAGGATTCAAGGATAGGCGCGATGCGAGGAAGTACGCGAGCAGTCTGTTGAAGCACGGTTACTTGAGACACACTGTCAATAAGATCACCTTCTCTGAACAGTGCTACTATACCTTTGGGGACCTCTGCCAAAGTACATCCACTTTTCACACCTACATTAATTAAGCAGCTCACACATTTGTGGCATTTTCTTTTTAAATAGAAGGATTATACTAACTCTGTCCCTCTCTCCTGCTTTTTTTCCCTCTCTCCTCAAGACATGGCCTCACTCAATTTGAATGAAGGATCCAGTGGTGGAGGTTCTGAGCAGGACACTTTGGCACCACTACCTCCCACTAGCAACCCCTGGCCTCTGGGCGGGCAGCCATTCCCCTACCCTCCTTTCCCCACTGCACCCCCGAGCTTTCCGCCAGGATACTCAGACCCATGCCACAGTTTCCACAGTGGGAGCGCAGGCAGCCAACACAGTGAGGGTAAGCAATAAGGAGGGGCAAGACGAGTTTTCCATCAGCCTATCGTTGATTAATATAATATATTCGCTCAACATGCAACACGACATTAATGAAGTCTTTCTGGCATATTAACGAATGTCTGGCTCATGCTAATGTTAGCTTTACTGGCTCTCTGGGCAGGAAGTGGACATTGGATTGCATTATTCAATACAACATAAATATCTGTGTTCTAAAATGCATCCTGTATTGTCAAGGTCAATCATGAGCATCTTGAGTCATGCAGCGGACAGCTCTGCAGTACTGGGTGTGTACACAAAACAGATCTGATCAACCATGTGATTATCAATCACCAGCTTGAAATGATCAACACTAAGTCCATGTGTCTCCATTAGTTCTTGAATGATCTTTTGTTTTGATTTTTGAATCAAAATGTGATGGTGCTGCATGGTTTTTGTTGTCTGCGCTGGGGCGGTACGTATAAGTAGCTGGCAGGGGTAATGTTGCTGTATATTTTTTACTACGTAGCCCAGACAAAAGATGTGAAACTATATATTACCATCTCTCTGTCTTATTTTCATTGTTTTGAGTGGCTCATCCATATTTTAATTTCGCCCAGTTGCCATTCTTTCGGTTAGTTTTGGTTTCGTTTATCAGCAAATTTTGGGAAGACAAGTGACAAATAAATGTCATGGTTTTCTTTCTTTGGGAGCTTTCAGAAAAAGAGCAAGCATTCATGGTAATGAGTGCATGTGTGAAATCTTGGGGACAGTTTCTGCATATTTGCATATAAAGGATCAGGTGTTACGTTGGTTTGGAGCTAACGGGGGAAAGTGCACTAGGACACGACAGGTAGTAGAGGAACGACTGGGCTGGGAGGTGTGTGTAATTCTGTTGTTCCCTCTGTTTCTGCTGGGCAACGGTAGACTGAAGGAGGAGGTAGTCCCCGGACACTGGGGGAACCGGTAAGCCTGCTAACCCCCTCTCCTCCTCTGCTGCTCTCTCTATTTTACCATTCAATCTTATTCTGCCACTCCTCTCTTTCTCTTGTGCTCAACGTTCTCCACGTCTCATACTGTAGCTTTAAGGTTTTTGTTGGGTTTTTTGTTTTTTCTCTCTCTGCCCGTCCCATAATTTTTCTTTGGTCCATGTGTATCCTGTCTGTGACTCTCCTGACGGCCGATTCTCCCTCTCTGCACCTCTAGGCATGCATTCGTACTGTGCTGGGAGGTGCATGATGCAGGATGAGCACTCTGAGGCTTGTGCTATCATTCTTGCTGATAGGGGGCAATCATGCACCACTTTACCCAGTACTGTTGGGCTCACTGTGGAAGGGGAGGCGTGGAATGTTTGATTTTGCAACAGTGTGATACACCTCCATTAGTCTGATGCCAGCAGTGTTTATTAACAGCATTGAGAGTTGTGACACGTATTATTACTGAGAAATTGACAACACAACAAATACGTCATTCTGCGTTGTTCATCAAGTGCTGTGTGGTAATCTTTCTGATGCAGGTGTGTCATCTTTATATTTATGATCTGTGACTGTTTCAGTGTTTGTATGAATATAAGAAAAAGCCTTAATATCAGTTGCTGCATCAGAATTTGGGGCAGAAATCACTGAGATAATCATGTTTGCCCTTGACTGACTTTTGCTAGACTGCATAACAAAAAATGTGGTCACACCTTAAACAAAGTGCAGTAATGTCCTTATTAACATTGACACATTTTACTGTGTTTCAAACACGAGCACCTTTTCATGTTATGCTTAATTCTGGTGGAGTTCAAGAAGTCTTTTATTAAGCTGATGTTTAATGTGTGACCTTTTGTCTTTGTTTATCGGTAGCCGGTCGTGAATCATCAGTAGCTGATGACTTGCAGCTGCTCACTGTGTATTTGTGGGTGTTTATATTCTATTGAAGTCTTAACCTGTTAATCTCTGTTTCTTCTTTTTTTTTTTTTTTTTTTTTTTTCCCCCCAATCAACAGGAAGCCGAAGCAGTGGATCCAACCCCAGCGCAGGCAAAGGTAGACGTTCATCCCCACAGGAAAAGGGTCAAAGGTCAACATGCAGTGAATCAGAGCCAGGAATCCGTGGAGGGCGGCGTGGTGACAGATCTGCCAGTCAAATGAGCCATCACAGCCACGCCATCTCTAGCCAAAGTCACGCAAGGTCAAGTCTCAGCCACAGTCATTCACACAGGAGCCACCCTGTCACACAGAACAACCACCCCCCGTTCACCTACAGCCACGCCGCCTTTACTCAGCCAGCTCCAGGCTCCTGTGCCCAGAGCGAGCGAAGCCATGCCTCCTCCTACGGCCCCCCAGGCTTGCCTCCCCCTTATTGTCTGGCCCGTCTGGCCCCCAAGACCTCATTCAACAGTAGCACGCCTCCTGGAGCCCCACCTGGGAGAGAGTTAGCGGCCGTTCCTCCTGAGCTCACCGCCAGTCGCCAGTCCTTCCAGCATGCTATGGGCAATCCCTGTGAGTTCTTTGTTGACATCATGTGACAGAACAGTGCCTTTTTAACTCAGTGAGCACAAAACAGCTCTCCCTGATCCCTTTCAACCCTGTTCTCCTTTTTCCTCTCAGTCTTTTGACCATCTCTAAACTTCAGAATGTAGACACTGACTGGCCCTCTCCACAGCCCCCTGCTGTCTGTCCCTCTGATGTCCAAGCAAAGGAATACAGGCAGCAAGAGCACAACAGGAGTAGTCCTCTCGCACACAAGCAGGGGTCCTCTGGCTGAAAACCCTCTTTTGTATTGACGTGACGTGTACAGTTTGTGAAACGTGAGTGGTATTCAGTGTACTGATTTCTGTAAAGATGCCATGCAGACATTTTTGGGAGTGTGTACTCTACCTAGGATATTTTCTGTTCTGCGCCTTTAAGCTGGCTGGGCCTGGATCTCAATCCCCCAGACCCAGGCCAATAACTATGGCCTACGAATCTTTTTCTGGACATAAAACTCGGACTGGAACACCTAACTCATATTTGTGTATAATGCTACAGTTTAGCACATTACTCTGGCCCCACTCCCCTTATGTCAAGGCGCTGCCACTGGCGTATTTAAGCTCTTACCTGCCAACTACTAATAACTCTAACCTTGATCAGTTCACAATCCGAGGATTTCCATAAGGGAGACCCTGTAGCCAGCCTTTAGTTCGACTAGGCTGCATATTGCATGACTGTCTCACCTGCTTTAAAGAAAACGTATTCATTCATTTTGTTTAAAGTATTACCGTTATTGGGGGAGGAGGTTACCTCTTTCCTATGTTCTAAAGGAAGAATCCATACACTGGAACATTTTCGTGATGTTATTTATGTGATCCTTTTGCATTGATGGTGTCATACTTTGTCTACTACGAATGACTGACCGACAATCAGGCATCACTCTTTATGAAACGGTGGCCATTTCTCAATGTCCTAGGTGTGCTTTGTCGAATGTATCATTATTTCTGTCAGTGATTAAACCCTGACACCCATAACACTTAGTTTAAACATGTTTAAAGATCAGCAGGATTGCAAACTTTGGACACTCACAACAGCAAACTGTGAAAGCAAACTCAAAGGTTGATTAGATAAAGTAGTTTGACAAAAGCATCAGGTTTGTCTCCTTCAGTTGTGGACTTTGTTGAAAAGTCAGAGTGATAAAAGCCAAAGCCTCACATTGTTTGGTGGACATGGCTCTTCATACTGTTGAAGCTGTCACTTCTAGTTGTGTTCAGAGTGACTTCAAGGGGAATCCTGGCTTTCAGATGGTGATCTCCTTGCAAAACAATGGCAAATCCCTGTTGTATCTACCTAAAATATAGTTACAAGAGGGAAATAACACACACTAGTTTTATGAGCACTTTCCCATTTTGTCCTTCCCTCCCTTTAGTATGAAGCACTGTTTGCAATCAAAGCTTTCTCTTTAATTTTCTCTAAAAAAGAAGAATAAATTGTAAATAGAAATTTATTATATATATATGAATAAAAATATATATGTTCAAAACACTGTCTTCATTTTTCACCTCACCTGGAGACTGAGTGAAATGCCACTAGGTGGAGACATTGTTTTGTGTATATTATTGTACAAACTATACATTTGACTGATAAAAATGCGATTTGAAAATGTGCTTAAGGTGCCGTTGCCTGATTTAATTAGAAAGCAGTGTCATGCATTTCAAATGTATGACACAATCTCGTGGGTGGTTGGTGTTCATGACCGGCCTGTGGTCAACAAAACAGTCGCCTGAAGAATAGACAACCATTTACAATTATAGCCGAGATGGGTTAATATGTTGCAACAAAGTTTTAATGTTGGTTTTGACACTTGACAGTTAACACCCCTGAGTGGAGTTTCCAGTACACCAATTACGTGTACTTTCCCAGTGGGCTGGTGTTACTTGTAAAACGGCTATACAACAACAAGCCGACTGTATAGTACAGACCCCCATCTACTTGACCCACAACCACAGCCGCGGTTGCTGAGTGACGTCACACACCTACATCTATGGTGGGTGTGTAATAAAAATGCTCGTCAGGAAGGAAGTGCTGTGTAGGCAGAATAAGTTACTCTACTAGAACAGCAGCCCCCAGAAGAGCGCAATGACCTGTAATCGCCTTCGTGCTGTTTGAAATACAGGCCAACGGGTAAAGTGAAAACTTGTAGTCCCACATTAACAAAGCCTTCTGCCATGACAGTTCCAGGTTGACTGTGACTCTGAAGCTTATGTCAGCCTACATGCAAATATGAGCGCACACTCATTTACCAGCAGATTGTGTTGCTAAACTCCTTACCGAACAGCCCTGAAGTATTTCCCGAGCCACTATGTAAATTTGGGACGGGGTTTTACTGTGCTTCATTGCTGAATTTTTTTAAAGAGGAGGTTGAGGAGTAAATGTGGGAAGGGTTTCTTAGGGTGCGTTGGCAGATGAGGTACATACGCAGTCTCACACCACGCGCGCACTTTGACGTGACGACGCTATCGGTCGAGTGTGATGCATTAGAAAGTCAAAGGCCTCGTCTGCGAATGTCACGAAGTATCATATGATAGTGAGATGTTACAATCATGACTCAGCAGACAAACGTTATGTGCGTGTATTTATTTGGTTCGTTTTTCCCCCTTCGCACTTAAATTGTTAGTTTGAATTTAAGCATGAAGATCCCCAGATATGTAATCACCTGACACCTCATCATTTGTCAGCAAATTCCCAGTGTTTTCCCAAACTCACACCACTTACAGTAAGGAAACGGTTCCTTTTTCAAAGGAAGTAAGTCCTACTGAGTTTGGGAATCGCTATACACACTTGAACAAAGGCACCTGAAAACAATAAAGGTCACTTTTAAAAGCACCACTTTCATTTTAGAAGAAATATTCTTACAAACACTTTTAATTTCATTTTCTACCTGAATATTTGCCACGTGTGTTGTCTAATACAAGTGTTAGCCACCAGACACATAACGATCTTCTGAAGAGTCCGTGAGGGGGGGAATTTCGAGACATTTTCAATGCCCTTTAAATAAACTTGTGATTCTGGGCATGATGTCTTGTCCTATGACTCATCTGTTAAATAACAATGACGCGTTCTCTGTTGTGAATAAAATCGTATTTTAACAATTGTTTACTTAAATTAAAAAAAAGTTTTATGCTGTACATTTTCTTTAATTTCACCTCAATTTTGCATTTCCTCAGTGTATATTGTATGTATACTATGATGCCATGACTCCCACGAGGAAGACAATGGTATTGGCATCCTTAAGCTTTGTTTATAAAACCGTATAGACAAAATAAAGTCCAGGAGATTAAGTAAAAAATAAAAAAATCCCCCTTTATGACTGTTTCCCCGTTAGAGACAAAACAGAAAAGTTACGATGAAGATAAAATCCCTTTTATTTCTATTGTAGCGTGATAACAAAGCCTTTCCACGACAGGTAGTTAAGTCTAATGCTTTATTGGGAGACAATATACTGCGTAAATGCACTCAAATAGAAGCAAAAGCTTCTAGAAAGTAAAGCTGCTATTTGAATTAACTTCACATTTGCAGGTGGAGAACTTGACTGTGCTGTTGTAAACACATTGCGGCGATTGCATCTAAGTTCCAGGAAATCTAGTTTAGCCCTAGTTCAGACATTTCTATGAAGAACAGAACAGATTTGAACGGTCGTTCAAGTTTGAAGGCATGCATAACACGACATTATCACGGCTTTATTTGGTTACTGGTAGAGGAAAAGAAACGAATATTGTAATCTGACTGAGCAAAGTTTCGCTTTTCTTTTTCCTACAGCCAGCGACAACTTTATATCTTGGTATCTCTTTGTGTATTTTGAATGAATTCATTTGTTTTTAATAAACACAATGTAGTTGTATAAAAATGACTAAGACAAAAAACTGTCTATACATGTAGATGAATTGTACCATGCTGAGTCACACCATTGTGACACGCCCCCGTCCCCCGCTACAACACTTTTTATAAGCGCTCAGCTGGCAAGAGGGTTAAAAACCTTTCTGACTGCTGAAGTCGCAACAATACAGTCTGCTTAATATGAGTGCAGAGCACAGAACGATGCTCACACAGATTTAGGTAAAGAGAAAAGCCGAATTAGTGCCGCGTGGAAGAGATACCTGGAATAATTCTTCGATTGGATTAAATCAACTCTCTCCTGGAGTGGCTGTATCATCTTCAAGGCTGGGAAGCTGAAGTATGGCTGCAATCGCCTGGCTGATCGTTCTCTTTTTGGGCATCCAGTGCAGTGTTGGGGAGACGGGCTGCAAGGAATGGAAGCTAGAGGGGAGCGGTGTTTGCTGTAACAGCTGCCACCCAGGTAATAAAGAAAAAAAGATCCAGAACCTTATAAAAGTTTGCAGATAGACTCTACATTTATTTGCTTTTGTACAGCTTTTTTGTTTGTTTGTTTTTAACGGCGCTCTTTTGAATTAAACTACATTTACAGTTTAGCCTACTGTATATTCACGAGTGAGATAAAAGAAGTCTTTTCTTCCACATTATTAAACCCAGCTATTATCTTTGGATGTTGAAAAAAAAAAGTGAGAGATTGTTTTCCAACCTTTGAGGAATTCCTCTGCGGTGGCCACATGCAACCAAAGATAGTTTCAGTGGTTTTTCACCTAATCCACAACAAAGGCAAGGATGATGCAGCTGATATATCCAATCATTGGGAAATGTCACTGACAGAATTTGTCGGTTTCATTCCTGTACATCCAGTGTAAGAGCAGTAAATATAGTTATTAGAGTTCAAAGTTTTCTAGAAACCCCAATCTTATAACTTATGAACCTTAAAAAGGAAATCTTTTGTCATTTATTAAGATGCATTATAGCTTTGATGGAGCCAGTGTCACTGAAATTTATGTGTAATTTACTCCCTTGCTTATTTTTGCAGGAAATCACCGAGTCGAGGAGTGTGGTCAAACCCTAAAAGAACTTTGTAGACCCTGTGAGCCCGGGACCTATACAGTGGACCCTAAAGGATTCAGGTGTTACCCTTGTACACAGTGTGTAGGTATGTTGGTGCATTAATTAAGTCACAACCATATAAAAGAATTTCATCAGCAGTGTATTAAATTCTGGGCTAATATAGAAATCTGTAGTACTACAAGAGCTTTTAATCTTTTTGTATGTTTAGGTGCTCAGGTCCTTCTACAAGCCTGCACTGCCACAACTGATACCAAGTGTGGCTGTAGAAAAGGACTTACTTGTGGTGATGAAAGTTGTTCCTTCTGTGTGAAGACATGTGAAAAAGGCTTTGAACCTACAGTTAATCGTAAGTAAAAGTACAAATAATAAGCTTTTAACTTTAGCCCAGACACTACACATGTTGGCTTAAATGGCAAATCAACTCACTGACTGTCTCCACAGGTGACTGCAGAAAATGTCCAAATGGAACTTTTAACGACAAAGTTCACCAGAAGTGCAAACCCTGGAGTACCAAGTAAGATAATACCCTTTACTAAACACCACCATGTTTTACTGTTGCTGTAATAAAACACTTGATAAATCCCAGAAAAGTCACAGGGAATCTTTTGTCACGCTTGTTTCTCCCAGGTGCTCCAATCCAAATGAGCAGATTGTGTTCAAAGGAGATGCATTAAATGACATTAAGTGTGTTCCAGTTATACCTGAGGCAACACGTGGCCAAAAAGTTAAACCTGACTCTGGTAAGTCATGATTCTTTTTCCTCTTATCATACTGCTTCAGTTCTGATCTAAAGTTGACTATAACAGTGCTGTTTTGAAACAGATGCTCAAGACCCGATATGGCCACTGTTTGTTATCATTGGCATACTTGTCTTGTTCCCCGTCACCATCATCATTATCATGATCGTAGCTGTGAAAAACCTCCAGAAAAGAAAGAAGACAAAAAAGAGAATTCATGAAAAAATCATTGTAAATCCTACAGGTAATTTCGCTTGCATTTCATGATTAGGTAATATATCACCTGAATCATAGTGATTAACTATTTTAATTGCTTACTTTTTCCCTCTTTTTCTCCTTCAGATGATCCCAGGACATTAATTGCAATAGAGTGCAGTTTCCATGAGGCTCAGCAGGAACAGGGCAGCACTTGCAGCTCAGAGTCACTGGACTCTAAGGACTCTTCAGAGCAGCTGATTGCATGAATGGAATGACCTGGGCTAGAAAGCCGCATGGAAGTAGCGTTTTCCTTTAAGGAAACAGGATTTTACAGCTAAAATGGGATTCTTCTTTCTTCATACTGAGCCACTTTTTGTTTTTTTAAATGTCTTTGTTATACCAAGTTGCTTAGGCCAGCTGTTTTTATTTTAGAACAGCATAAGCTACTGTGTAAAAAGGCCTAAGAGGTCAAAACAAACTGTAACATCTTGCTCAGTTTTAACAACTGGATACAGTTTCAGTGATCCTTCAATAACACAGTCAGTTGAAACAAGAGGAAGGGGAATTCTGAGAGGGGAAAGAAGAAAGTGGACTTAACAATAGGTTATTCACCATGTAAATTCTAACAGCAGGCTGTTTTTTTGCCATCTTGAAATGTGAACACAGTCATGAAATAACAATGAACAAAAGCTAGCCTTTTTGCCATCACGTTTTTAAACTGCATTCAAAGTTCAGTCTACTTGCCCCAGTACACTGTAAGACAGCTGTAGTCAGTAAGAGTATGATAGACAGTAATTAATCTGTTATTTGCACGCCTGAGTGGTAAAACTGCCAAGTATTGCTCAGTTTGAAAATACGATGTGGGTGAGTGTGCAAGTGGGTGTAACAGACTGATTTTAGTCATATTACTTTCTGAGCCTTTATATTACCTCCCAGTAGTATGGTTTTACATATGCTCAAAGCCTCAACATAACATAGCAACCTACCTGCTGTTTATGGCAGTTTTGTTGTTTTAATTGTTTTATCTGTTGGTCATTTACAGTTTGTCTTTTTTTTAATATAATTATTATTTGTTAAATTGTGAAAATAGGTAGCTAGACTCATTATTGCATGTAGCCTCTTCCACTCCACTGAACTCTACCAGGAACTATATGGACTTTCCAACTGTTGCTTAACTGGTCAAAAAAAGCCCAGTGAAGGGACTTCCCTATTTTAAGTAGATAAAGCTACGATTCAAGATGAAGCACTAGGGAGACCTATTAGTGAAATACTGAGTGTACAGAATGGTTCACAAATGAAAGGTAAAAATCATTCAGCTGTGACAATCACTGAGCATGTTAAGGCACGCTGTATGACTAAGTGTTTATCAGATCAAGTATGCGTTCAACAGGTCAGAATAAAAACAAAAATGAAATGCTCTAAAGCTTAGTAACACAATTGCGAAAATCTTTCAGTATTCCTCACGAGTGCCACATGGGAAATCCACCAATTATCGCTGTAACTCTTGAATGTCTTGGGAAATCCTGTGAACAAATATGCTTGACTAATGTAAATGACATGCAAGCTAAACCCAGGGGCCAAGCGGAAACCCCCCAGAGAGAGTCTTGTAGAGTGCGTTACTTTTAGTTTCTTCTAGAACAGCAGAGTGGGCAGCAAGATTAGACCAAATGTTGTTTGTTTTTTTTTGTTTTAATTCTATTGCTCCCCTGGTCTGTAAAAGGCAAGTGTTTCTTCATGGAACATTTGAGAAATATACTGTGTGGGCTTTGCCTGAAAACGTTTACCCACGCCTATAGTAATAGAGCAGCGTATGAGTCACCTCTCCAGCAAAGCAAAATCAGTTAAAGACTTCAAAGTTCACAGGTGGCGCAGTGAAAAAGTGTTAACATTACAGTACAGTCATACAGTGACATTTTAATACGACTGCAGCACTTTATTATACCTGCTGAATATTACCTGATGAATGTCATGTACTTTTGGTTTGAATGTATAATTTTGTCTCACGGTGGTTTCCTATAAAATGTCTTCAGCTGTCTAAAGTACTGTATAAAACTGATATGTATTTTTACACTGTACTTACATCTCATTTTTGAACAAGCAATAAAGATTGTATTTATTATGTACAGAATAGTTGCAGTCATGGTGTCGTATTTCAGTTGTGTAAAGAAAAGAGTTTAAATGTGGCAGCAAGAACAACATACACAAAACAAAAAGAGAGACCAATAAATAGTAATACATGCATCAAAATTATTTCCAGTCACTTCTGTTAGATTCCTGTTTGGCATTAGGAATAGTGTTAAAGTGACCTGGTAAAACATGCAAGTGTTTTAGTTCAAAGTCTGTCTTTGGTGTTGGATTTCAGAGATTGCGAAATGTAGTTGTAAGCTCCAAAAGGTAATAGTAGCAGCTAAGCTTCATGTAGCTATAGCATAGAGCTATAGTTTTATTTATTCCATGAGCCGTCAGCAAGAGTATAATGAACTTCCTCGTTCGAGTGGGAAATAATTACATTTAATTTTGACTTCTTTCACTACCACTATGTTAATGTGATCCAGTTTTACAACTTCTGGGATTTCCATCTATAAAAAGTAAACAAAGTTAGTTTGATTGTCGTTGGATAACAGCAAACATGACAAGAACTGCTTTGAAACAAGATTACTTTGTCACTATTTCTTTGTAAAGATTAACGTTCACATGCTTCTGGAGATTCCCCCAAGAAATAGAGTGGAGGAAATAATTATTTGATGCCCTGCTGAATTTGTACATTTACTCACTTAAGAGGAAATTAACAGTCTCTAATTTTTATGGTAGCTTCATTTTAATGGAGAGCGACAGAATCTCAACCAAAAATACAGAGGATCGGTTGATCCTTTACAACCAATCCAGAATTCTGGCTCCCACAGATTGCCTATATCCCTTCACATACAGGCAATTACAATCCGTCAATCAATTACAGACACTGGCAATCTGATGTGTATAAAACAAACCTGTCCACAGAATCAATTTCAAAGTTTTCACCACCATGGACAAGACCAAAGAGCTGTCAGAGGAAGTTACTGACCAGACTGTAGACCTAACACAAGGCTGGAATGGACTACAAGACTATCAGCAAGAAGCTTAGTGAGAAGGTAAAAACAGTTGTGCGACTATTCAGAAGTGGAATAAAATGACATGGGAGAAAGCGCTGCGGTCAGATGAAGCCAAAATCAAATTCTTTGGCATCAACTTGACCTACTGTGTTTGGAGGTAAAGAAACTGAGTGTGATCCAAAGAACACCATACTTACAACAAGTATGGAGGTGTAAATATTATGCTTTGGGGCTGTTTTCCTGCTAAACGTACAGACAACTTGACTGCAATAACAGGGAAATGGACAGGGCCAAGTACTGTGAAGGTTTTGGATGGGAACCTCTTTCCCTCAGCTAGAACACTGAAGAGGGGTTGTGAATGGATCTATCAATTTGACAAGCACTCAAAACATTTCGCCAAGGCAACAAAGGGGTGGTTAAAGAAGAAGCATATTAAGGTCATGGAGTGGCCTAACAAGTCTCCAGACCTCAATCCAATCTGTGGAGGGAACTGAAGCTTCAAGTTGCAAAGCATTTTATAACTTTTATATAATGTGTTTTTTCTGGATTTTTGTTAATATTTTGTTTCACTCCATTAAAATAAAATTACCATAAAATAAAAACTGTTCATATCTTCATAAGTGAGCAAACTTACAAATTCACCATGGGTTCAAATAATTATTTTTCCCACATTATACCTAGTTTAGACATAATTTCTTTAGAGATTATTAAAGTATTCTGATTCTGATTTAGACAATGGGATGAAGTTATATACTAGGTGGCAGAACATAGAAGTCTACTTGGATGGTTTAGTGCAGGGGTGCCCAATCCCGGTCCTCGAGAGCTACCGTCCTGCAGCTTTTAGATGCATCCTTGTTCCCACACACCAAAATCAAATGAATGGCTTGTTATCAGGCCTTTGCCAAACATGATGGCATGCTGAAGAGGTAATCAAACCAGTTGATTCAGCTGTGTTGGAGTAGGGATGCATCTAAAAGCTGCAGGATAGTAGCTCTTGAGGACTGGGATTGGGCAGCCCTGGTTTAGTGTATTTGTAATGTAAATAAAGTGTAGGCACAACTTGGGGAGGACTGAGAGATCCAGCTGACAGTATACTGGTTAACTACATATAAAATACAATACAATAACAAACCCAACATTTCCCTTTAGCATTTATAAAAGCCATGATTTTAAAATGTTGTCTTTACTCACTTAATCGAGAATCTAAAAAGTCTCCTTATTCCACTGCTCTAAAAAAAAAGTGCTAGTAGGGGCAGCTGAGTGAATGCTATTCGTGTCGGTTTTAACCCTAAAATAATAAGCAATGAGAACTCTAGCTGAACTGATTAAGTGTTATAAAAGAAACGGTGTATGGCCTACAGCAGAACACAGTGTTGGAGATCACTGTTGCTTGCAGTTCTCCTTCTTCTCTTTGGATTTACTTCGTCCTGATTTGTCTGTTTGACGCTTTGTTGGCGGAATAAATGTAGGCTCCTCAAGCATTTCATTTAGACCTGACTGTGGCACAGGAAGGGGCTGAGTAGCTGGACCTACAATGGAGGAAAAGGAACTGTCAAGTTATTGTTTCAACAGTTTCAACAGTGGTTTTATTTCAGTTCAGTTCAAATACCCATTTGTCCCATTTGGAGGCTCATTGTGCCTTGCCTCCTCGCCTGGAAGGTTGGATCCAATTCCTCTGCAATGTTTCTAATCTGCTGGGCTGATCTATAAATGTAGCAGCTATAAGTCACCATATTTTTGAAATATCAGACATACAGCTTTAATTAAGAGATTTAACTTGTTAATTACGGTGTAGTGGTGGTGGGACTTGGCGGAAGGTTCTCTGGAGAGCAGTCCTCAGTCGGGGAAGGAAGGCCCTCTGAGTCAAGTCTCTCTCGTTGGACCTGAAATGAACAAAGAGGTTTCTCAGCTTGTTTAAAACCTCTGCTGGCAGAAACACCCAATAAAGACCTTTCACACATATGCATAACAGGTCTGTGTATATGTTTGTCTTTGTCTTGAATTCCTAACCACATGTTCAAACAAACCTGTCTCTCTCTTGCAGCTCGTCTGTCATGATGATTTATCATCGCCCTATGCTCACGCCAAGACTCAGGTCCTTCCAGCTCACGAGATCTACGCTTTGATTTAATTTCTTGTTTCTGCATGAATCGTGCAATTTCCTACACAAAAAAAGGCATGATCTTACTAATCAGTTGGATGTTAAATAAACGGATACTGATGACATGTCAGTTTATCATTCCACCTCATCCTGTGCCACTTGTGCTACTCTGAAGTCCCCGTCTGGATAAGGACAACGTTGAGATGGCTGAGAGTTCTGTGAGGAAACAGAAAGTAAATGTTCAGATCAACAAACCAAACTTCCGTTTTTCTGCTAACCTTCTAAACTACAGTGTTTCATGTTAAATTCTTGGATCAGTTACCCTCCCAAACAGCTTTTCCTCTTCCTCCTGTAGCTTGAGGGCCAGTTCTTCATCTTCTAAAACCTGCTGCAGCTCCCCCAGGCTCAGATTAGTTTCACTCAGCTCTGGTTGAAGTGGTGCTCCTAAAGATGAAGTTTGACAGTGTCAAATTCACAGAAAATTGAGCAACTGTGATGATGATGAGCACATGATTTGTTAAAAAAAACAAACAAAAAAAAAACATCACCCATTAATCATTCAAGTTTACTGAAAGAGTCGGGGAAAGGTTATTTACAATGACATTTGAAATGACAGCACAAGATGAAAAGATGCAAAATGAAAGCAACTCCCTGGAATTAATTATCTTACAACCCTCAAGATGAAAAAAAAAAAAGAATTAGAAGAAGGAAAAGTAGAGAATTAAAGTACAAAGCAAAGACTATTTTAGACCACTGATTTTGTAGATATGAAACAGGGAAACGTCTCACTTCATTAAGGAATCAAGACACCACTAAAGCCCAAGTCCAGATAAGGGGATGATTAAGGGAAGATGAGAGGAGCAGATGTACACAGAGAGGGACAGCACCATGCTGGAAGCTTTCCCTCTGCAGATTAGAGTTGGCTGCAGGTCTAAGTGTTACCTGCTGCTGTGCGCCTTGACCTATCCCTGGTTGAAGCCCTGCTGCTGGTGCTGAGACTTTGGCTACGTCCTGGGGCTCTTCGGCGGGGTACATTTACTCTCCTCTCCACGTCTTGCTCCTCCTCTGAGCTTAAGCTTTCTTCTGCGGTCCTGTGTAAATGCCTCCGCTCGCTTGCTGCCCTCCTGACTCTATAATTATTTACATTCCTCTCTCCCCTCTCATCATTGTTACTCCACCTTCTACTGCCTTGTCTTTCTCTTTTAGAAAGGTCTGAGTCCCTTCTCCTAATCTCATAAATCTCTCCATTATCATGATGCCTGTCTCGGTCTTCTCTGTGATCTCTCCCACTGTTCTCTCGGTATGACAATCTCTTTCTCTCCCTAATATCTCCATGGAAACTGTGCCTCGTGGAAGCAGCTCTGTGGAAGGCTCTCTGATGTGGTTGGGAGTCGCCGCAGGAGACCTCACTCCCATGAAACACCTGGCTGTCTCTGCTTTGAGGCCTTATTTGCAGTGGCGCCCCATTGCCACCAAGCTTCACAGGCACACCCCTCTCTTTGAGGACACGGGCCAGCATCTTCCACACTTGGCTGCTTGCACTCTGCTCCCTGCGAGAGCTCCTCTTATCATCTCGAAAACGGACGTGTTTGTCAGGGCTGTCCTTGTAGCTCCAGGTCTTTGCAAAGTCTCTGTTGCTGTGTGTATCCCTGTCATGCAGCCGAACAGATTCACTGTGACTGCGTCGCTTTTCTCTAAACTCGACGAACTGAGAGCCTGGATCCTGACCTCTGATATCATACTCATCTCTGTACTTCCTCTCTTTATCCTGATTCCTAGGCCTCCCTTCATTCAGATCACCATTTTCATAAAAGTCCTCGTCCCACTCTTCTCTCTCCTCCCTGAACTCGTCTGAGAATGTTCTACGAGAGTAAACTCTTCTGCAATTTCTCTCTTGTGGCTGATGTAAAGATGCCCGCTGTCGAGCAGGTGCAGTGTTGAATCTTTCATTCAGCCTCTGGGACCAAACAGAGAGCTGTTCAGAGAAAACAGTGTCCGAGTCATCTGAATTTTCACTCAAAGGCTCTCTCAATTCACTCCTAATTTGCCTAATGGAATTGGGGTGTCCTTGATTTGACCATGAAGTTGTATTTTTCTGAGCTGCTAACCCCCTTGGGGAGTTAGTCTGAGGCCCAGTTATGTCTGAGTGAGAAGTAGAGGATCGCCACCTGGTGGTGGTGCTAGGGTACTGCTCTTCCCCCTGGCAAACGCTGTTGTGTGTGTGCTGTTGTAGGGATAGCAGTGCAGGGTCACTCGTGCTGCCTTTGGTAATGCCAAACATGCAAACAAAAAAGGGTGGGTGGGTGAGTCTGTTAGTGATTATTATTAATGATGAGGTAACACAGCAATAAAATCTACAATTAGTATAAATGGATGAAATATAACTGACATATTTCCATGCATTTACGTACAAGAATGAGCCCTGCAAATGCTGAAAATGTAATTCCATGCGTTAAAGACAATATCAAAACAAACATGAGAGCAAGTTAGAACAAAAAAAAACATGAAGATATTCATGAACAAATGAGCAACTTTTTTGTTCATGGCCTTGTAGTATCTGCAGCTGCAGTAATGATCACAAGCAGAGCCAAGAATGTTTAGTAAGAAGCTAAATAATGCCAGGTTGTGTCCTATAGTATAACAAAGCCTTCTGCAAACCACTAAAAATATCCAAAAACCCCAAAACATTTTATTTAAACAATGTGAAAATTTCTAAATAACCTTCATAACTATATATAATAAAGCTTTACCTTCACTATGGCTCCCTGACCCTCTACTTCGTCTCCTGATACTCTCCTCTTCCTCTTCTTGCAACCGTTTGGCAATTTCCTGTGGAAACAAGGCCAGTGTGTACACAAATATGACTTTCAGCAGATAAAATGATCTCTTCCATCAAATAAGCACTTAATCAAAGATATTTTTCTATTTTCCAGTTTAGTTTTCAACAAGATTCACCAACAACATGTAAGGCATTTCTATAAAATAATGTGAAGAATGACAGAATCTTTTAGTGTATGACATAGTAAAAAAACCAAAAAAAAAAAAAACCAAGAGCAAATAAAAGACTAAATTATAAAACAAAAAACAAAAAACTGAGCTTCCCCGATTAAAAGAATGACACTGTAAATGGTCGGGTTACACTGATGTGGAACTATGAGTCGACATAACTGCAAGAATGAGGCTCCACATACATTGTACCCTTTTCCACCAACAGAGGGCAATATAACATAGATAAAATCAACAGCTGCAATTTGACAATGAAGGAAAATCTTATCCATGAATTAATATATCCCATATGGATGATTTTGCTTTTGTTCATAATGTAGCAGAGAGCTGTCTTGGGCTCCAGATATTCCTTCGTCGGTTTAAACCTCACACCACTCTTTAAACTCGCGCAGCTCCTTTAGATTTGCTCTCATTGGTGAGGTAACAACCAAAATGGACCAAAACCTTAGACCACATTTTTACATGAAGACAGGAATCTTTCTACATTGGACATGCAGAGTTATGTTGGGGGATCTGATACTGCTGTGAGGTGATGTGACATCTTAATAGCGGTCATTTAACTAATTCTGTTCTGGGTGGCCAGAGACACCACAGGATTTAGAACTCTGACTGAATAGAACCTGTAAGAAAAAATTAAGAAAAAGTAAACTTTTACAGCAGAAGCAGATCAATGCCACTGCTCCACTTAAAGTAACACTGTCACAGGGGATTGTCTGGTCTTACCAGAGCAGCTGTGTGTCTCTACGGTCCAGCTTCAATGTATCTGAGTGCTACTTTTTTGTGCTACCAATAAATCATCAAAATTCAACCAGTGAATTCTATGAGATTTCCCTCAGTGGGCAGCATTTACAACATAAATCATAAGCAAAAGCAAGCACAGCTGCTTTTGCCTTGCAATCAGGACATTTGTGTGAGCCACTTTGCCAGCATCAGCAGACAATCAGCAGCTTGCCATGGCAGGTTAGGCGTGCAGTGCCACAGGGATCTGGCATTTAAAAGTGCACAGCCTGATGCCTTCTGTTCCTTAATTAAAGACACGATCTACAGGGAGGCAAATATTTAATCAACACCTCTGATCTCCCCGTCATTATGGAAAGCAAGCTAACGTGTGCGCTAATAGTCCATCATTTGATCCCCACGTCAACACTCATAAAAAGAAAATACTGCAGAGCCAAAAAAGTAAACTAGGGTTTACATTTAATGTAAAGTGTAAACCACAGAGTTCAAACCCAACCCCTTTATGATGATCAAGGAATTTTATAGCCCTCTATGACCTCACACCCTCCAAACAAGGAGCTTTTGTACACAGCCTTCTCCAAAAAGGAAACTGCCATGTAGAGAAAATATTTTGCTGTAGTAGCCATGTGAAACAGACAACCAGGCCAGCTGGAGAGTTTTCATGGCTGAGTCGATGACTTTTTCCAGCACAATAGACTTCTCGTTCCTCAGTGACACCATTCATGTTATTCAAAGAATCAGATGAATTTCTTTTTGGTAAAGCAAGTTATACAAAATGCATCAAGACAGCATCATTGAGGAGGGCAGGATTTGCCTTGTGTGTGAACATTCAAACACCGTGGGAGTGGTGATTGATGAGAACCATCTGGTTGGACAACCATGTTTTGGCTGCAAGATGAATTGTTTTTGTATTTACAGCTCTGTAGAGGTTCACTTCCATACCATAAACAGGAGATAGATACATGTAAAAACAGCTATCCAAGCATTATATTTATATTGCAAACTTGGATTTGTAACCAGATGGTCATGCTCATGTTTGTTTATATTAAAACTAGATGTACAGCACTGTGTAAGCATCTTGAGCCACGGCTGATTTCTTTTATAGCTTGTGTCTAAGGAGACAAACTTCACACGAGCAATTTCAGAGGAATGTTTTTTGTTTGTTAAGCCATTTAACATTTACTTGTAAATCACTGAAGCATAAAAAAGAGACCAATGTGAAGGGAGGAATAAAGAGCTTATTTTAATTTGAATCTTTAGGCACTTTGTTACTAGCAGCCTGTCACAAAAACACATCAACTGTTGCCATTTTGTTAGCATAATAAAAAAATGTCAAAGATAACAAAGTTTGACAGCATAAAATAATATTTTTGTACTGATTACCAAGGGCACGGAGTATCTTGGGATGGTGTGCAAAGTGTCCTTAAAAAAAACACACTGAGAAAACTAAAGTGGAGACAAGAGAAGTTACACATCTGCTACTTTGATCTGAAAAGCTAAAAGACATGTCTTCAAGAAATAGGGGGAAAAAAATCCAGCAAAAACCTGACACATGACTTCGATGCATGGCCCTTCAGTTGATCTGTGTAGTGTTCACTGAGGCCACCTAGAAATGGTCTCAGTGGAAGCGTGGCTGTCAAAAAGCCATTCATAAAGAAAGGGAAAAGGCTTAAGAATGCCAAATTACACAAGAACTAGACTAAAATAAAATGAGTGGCAGGAAGTCCTATGGAGAGATAAACCAAATCTTAATATTTTGGTTCTACAGGAGATCAGGACAGAAGGATAACAGTGAGTGTCTACAGTGTCTAAAACACAGTGGATGCGCTGTCATGGTTAGAGTTTTGATGTAATTATGAATGCAGAAAATTACTGTTCGTTTTTGATCCAGCATGCAACACCATCTGGAAAGCATCTGAATGGGAATAGCTTTTTTTTTTTTTTTTTTTAAATCATGACACTGATGCCAATCACAGTGCATAAAAGCATAGCTAGATTGAAAAACAGACAATAGCGTCTCAGAACCCAGATCTCAACATTATTAAAACATTGTGGCAGAAAACGGAACAAGAGGAAGCCAACATCCAAAGAAGGGCTTTAAATGTCCTTCAATGGAGAACTATTCCTGAAGACTACTTACAGAAATTACAAGAAAGCTCGCCTAAGAGAGTTAAGGATGTGTTGAAGAAAAGGTGGTCATACCAAAAACTGACTTTTAAGCTTCTTAAAACTGCACAAAATCTGTTTTTGCCTTATACACTGCATTTCAAAAATATGCTTAAATTGCAGCATCTATTTCCCAGGAAAATGTAAAGAAATGAGGGTCGAGCCTTTTGCATAATACCGTATTTTATGAACAGATACACCTTGTACATCTTTGAGGCTATACTCAGGTCAAATAGTGATTCATCTAAATGATAATGTCATCATGCTATCGAGTTCACATCGACACGTCATAAAATGCATAATTTGTTAAACTAATAAGCACTAAAAGCAAAGTGCAGCTATGGATAATAGACATGGCACTAATTTTGCAAATATCAGTTGATAAACTAAGGAACTGAACTTGATCATAGTATTAGTTAGTTGTTAATTTCATGGCAACGCTAACGAAATGATCAGGAGATCGCTGATGTCATAGGTTTCTTTTTCCCAAGATCATAAATGTAAGTACAAAGTTTCATAGCAATACATTTCTGTTGAAATATTTGCAGTCAGAAGTAATATTCCTATACATAGAGCTAATGGGGCTAAAACATTCAAGCCATCATTCTGTAATAGAGCTTATTAGAATCTAAATGATTTATTTAGAGATTAAAATATTAAACAACAAAATTGAGAATACGACAGTGTGCAAGTTTTGCATGACTAAATGCGCACATATGAATGCATTCTGGATAAAGCGCTTGCTGGTCCATGTCTGGAGCTAAGCACCGGTGAAACTGCTTGAGCCATCATCGCTTGAACGACTGTGCTAAACAGCTGACCGTGCTTTTAAAGCCCTCTTTTGGAGCGATGGATACACCCGAGGCCCAGAGCAGCACTTTGCTGCCAGTGGGATTCATTATTTACTCAGTTAGTCCTAAGTGTGAGCAGAATGAGCCATATGATACTCCCTGTAACAGGCGCATAATTAAATGATATATAAATACATCCTAAGTGCCATAAATGCCTATGAGTCCCTGTGCTGTGTGTGAATTCACTGACTTTAAAAGGGGAATGCCAGTGGTATTAATTTACCTTTTACCATCACTAAATCCTATAAAAAAATGATTTTTCCTTACTTTTCACCTGATTTTTTTCCACATTGTTTTGTAAGTTTGTATGCATATCATACAAAAAAAGTTACAAAATATATTTGTGCTATCCCTTTTAACAAAAGAAAGAAATGCTCATACTTCCAAGGACAGACGGGAAACGAGTATCTCTCCAAGTATTAGTTTGTGCTGAAGGTAAACTTGTTCATACAGTATCCTGTTCTGCTCTGGTTACTGCCAGCAACTTGATGCCCATGGGAAAGGATTTGTTCCTCTTTCAGGAACAAATCCCTCACAATATTTTACTTTGCAAAGTTTGCTGTCAAGATTTTTTATCTTATTATCAGGGGAACCGTTCAGTTCTGAGTTAATACCATGGAGCTTTTAAATTAAAAATGACAAAAATGAGTGGCTGGTAGAGGAAAACTGATTTTCTACTTTGCACATCTTTCATTCAAGGATCACGTCTATATCTTCTAGAATAGTCTATAGTGGTTTGAACTTGACTAGACTTGACTTTAAAACTATAGATTTGCACAAGAAAGAGATACACATTAAGAAATACATTTAAAATACAAATGCATGCTCATGCTACTGTATTGTTTGACCTGTGTGCGCTGTGACATTAAAATGATGATATTATAAGGCGTTGAAGGTGCATAAATGCAAAAAAGGGTAATTTTAGCCTACTGCTGATTGATTACTAGGCAACATGAAGACACGATAGATCATGTATAATTCAGCTTTTATGTATATGAATGAGATATAATTATTTTGAAACTGAAATAACAGAAAATAGGTAAAAAAAACAGGTTCTTTTAGAACATTAGCAGGTTATGATATTATGATGACATCAGGATAAATATAACTGAAAATTTGTGGATATAAATTAGATACTACTGTCATGAAAACTATCATAAAAATGATAAAATACTTTCATAAAGTGTTATAGGGACAGTAATGCTGAAAACAGATTATTTTATCCCGTTGCTAGTTACAACATCACAATATCTGATATACATAAGAACCTTCATGGGCCTAAGATGTACCTGTGTGCCAAGTTTGGATGCTCTCCTGATCATCTAGGGAGGTGTTGGCGGTCACACACACATAAAAAATGAACATGCAGAAAGACAGAGAGAGATTTTGTATATTATAGTAAGATGAGCTTACCAGCCATGTAGTATTATAACACTAGTACACTTTCCATCAAAGTCAACTGAGCTAAAGATAAGATTTTTTAAAAATCAAATATGTTCAAAGTTACCAAACCTAACAGGTTTCTCCCTATTTGGTTAAATGCATGACAGGTCATGGTTAAGCTCCCCAGTTAACCTAGGCTATAGCGAGCATGGGTGCTAAGGTAAATAACCCATTTAAGGTTATGATAAAGTTCCAATATTTGGGTAAACCCTTTGAGATGTATGCATCATCTCATTTCAAAGGGGTCCAACCAGACTCTTCTTATCTCCATAAAGGTAGATTTATTTTTTTGAATGTTGGGTACTGTAAAAGAAGATTAAATACACATTGCTTTTTAAAAAAAATAATTTATGCACAGGTTGGTAATAAAATATGCTATGTAAGCAAAGAGATGTGAGTAAAAGCTCACCTCATCATCCAGCTCCCTCCTCTGAGCCTCCTCAGCACATCTCTGGAGTTCTTCCTGAATCACACGGGCGTACTCAAAGTCCTGCTCCTCTCTACAAAGCAGTTGCAGAAGAAAATTACTTCTCATATTTGTGATTTATGGATACAATAATCAACATAACATGCAGCAAAGTAAAAGAAGACATAAATTTGTGCAATAAATTTCCATGCAGTAGCGTAAGGGTTGCATGTAGCACAGTGTGGTTATTGCAGGAGTGTGCTTTGAGGAGTCACCTACAGTTGTCTGGAGGCCTGTCTCTGAAGGGCACTCTGCTGGGCCTGCTGCTCCTCCTCTTCATCCTGCAGCTTCTTAGCTACACGGATGTCATTCTGCACAAGCTGGTTCTTCAGAATGTTGGTGGTATAGTATTGCTCGACTGTAAGTGCAAGGCAGAGAAAAGGGGAGATAGTAAGGCAACGTGCAATGCAAGTATCAAAAGGGACCGTATTTGATCTATTACATATGAATTAATATTTACTATATTGCATTTGAACTTTAAATCTGTTTTCATTTTAAATCATTATGAATGTTTTGATTATCTGAAACATGGTTTGCTGCATGTCAGCTCTTCAGTGATGACACTTTCGAGGAATCTTAAAAATACATACCAAATTGTATGGCTTTTTTTTTTTTTTACAAAGATGTACAGAGACACCACAGCAGCAACCAAAAGGGCTTTCATGGAAATACATATGTATATGTTATGTAGTACATATACATCTGTGCGAGAGTTGCCACTTATTGAAAAGTGTTCATAAAATTTTGGTTGCGTAATTAAAATACTCGAGGGAGCTGTTGTTTTGGATTGCATTATTTGGCACACCAGTGCAATTCTAAAGTCCTTGGCAAGTCTGCAGCATAACACTGCGGTTGTGAATACTTCAGGAAAAGATGAACCCAACATACAGTGGTGGTTCACTGAGACAGAATGGAGTGCAGCTCACATAATAGAAGTTAGTAGACGCTTGCACAGTATGCAGCTGTCAAATAGCTGCTTAACTTTGTACTTACTCTCCTGCTCTTGCAGGTTGTGTGCCAGCGCTCCATCCTCCAGCACAGCAAAACACTGGCACACTGAAACAATAGACAACAGCAACATTTACAAACAGTTACAAAGTGCTCACAAATGAATGAAGGGGTGGGATACAAGTGTTTAATAAAGTGAGGAGTTCTCAGAGGCTGACGATTACTAAAACAACAGAAAACCGACAGCAGTCAGGAATGGATGTCAATGGCTCCATCGAAAAACAAAAGCTAAGCCTTTGGATGAACTGTGCTGCTTTTGGTCCAACAGTCTGTCCAAAGGGAAACAATAGGATACAAGTGCTGTGTGTTATGATGGATGTTTACACGACACAGACAAAAGCAGAAGAGTGTCCCTTTAAACTGGAAAAAGCAACCGTCCACCACTCTGGCATCACTGTTAAATACATGAAAGGATCTTATAAAATGTTTATAGCAGGGTAGCTGCATTTCAGAGAAAGATTCAAGTGCCCAAAATTAGCAGTCACAGACTTTTAGAGCAAAATAGCAGCTCCACCGTCCTGAGCGATGCTCATGTGCTACACGTGTGTGTGAGCAGCTTTTAACAGTAACAGCAGTACAACACACATAGTCATTCGCTCATTGTTAAAAGGATGCTAAGAGATGCCGAGATGCATGCTTTTCTTTCACTTATGTGCTCACTATGCCTACCAAATGAATATGCAAAGTTTAAGAGCAGCTGACTGCAAACCTTTAAGTTATTGCAGATGGTACAAATGTACAGTGTGTCGAATGAAAGCTGTAAGGCTGACATAAATCCAAAGGCTTTAACTACAAGCTTGCTGTATTCCAACTCTGTCTGGTACTCCATATCAAGCCACAAGTCTTTCATATCCTGTGATCCAATAGTCTGGCCACCTGCTGCTAGATATGGCAATAAAATATATCAGTTTCATGGCATTAGTGAACTCTCACCAGAGAATGCTGCAAACACTAGCACTTTAACATAGACTCAATAACATAAGAAATAATTATACAATTGTTATTCTAAACTATAAACATATTAAGTGCTTACAGTAGTCCTTAATGAGGCACAGTAGCTTCTTATCTGTGTTTAAAGATCTGTCAAACAAACTCGAACGTTACTCAGGAGAAAATGAACACAGACAGCAGCATTGTGGCTTAGATGTTTCTCCAACTCTTCCATTTCTCCACTCACACAGCTTACAGTGACCCCGCCAAAACCGCTTAGCTACCTAATAGATTTTCATCAGGGAACCCAGAGAGTTGCTTTTTCGTACAATGGAGGCTTCTAAATAGCAAAAGAACGACAGAGGACAGTGTCTAAGAGGAGATTTAGCTCACTGCTGAAAACCTTTCATGCTGAGCCAGAGACTGGGCCAATTAAAAACACCTGTCCTTCTGCTAATCCATCCACTGAGCCCAACACAGCGGGCTGTGTAACGGTTGTGGAGACAATGGCTCCACAAATGTTGCACACAAGCTTTCAGTTGTTTAAGATAACCTGATTAGCTTGTGAAAGCTTAAAATTTATATGCAGGCTATAACACATTTTACATTGATATTGTTGTTTGTTTGTTTTTTATTTATTATTCTTTTAGCCTTTTTTAGGATATATAGACAGATAATATTTCTAAACTTTCAGGAAAACCTAGTAGTGATATATACTGCTTGGACAATTGGGTACACCAGCATGAGCTTACATACTATCAAAGCTACTCAATTTCTGATGCTTGTAAGTTTTTAGACTGAGAGACACTTCTAATGCTCTTCCTTCTAGCCCTGTGACAGATTGGTAAAGTCTGTACCCAGGCAGCTGTGACCATAAGTTGAATAAGTGGATGGACAGATGTCCAGGAAAATTTTACCTTTAACCACAGCCTCAAAATAAACACATAACTGTCAACAAAAAATTATTAATATGAGCGGGTATAAAAAAAAAAGAAAAAAAAAGAATTTGTGCCAGGGCTGTTGTGTTAAATTGCACTGGATTGTTCAGGGGTCAGGTTGCCACTTGCTTGAGGATGCTTAATGGAGAGCAGCGTGTTATTATTAAAGGTGTATAGACAAATAAAGTACACATTTACCCAAAAAAAAAAAAAAAAAAAAAAGGTTTTAAATAAAAGGCAGACCAAGATCTCTGAAATGTACTTACTATCTGGAGATGTATTAGATGGTAATACTGATGACGACAACAAATTGGTGGCGTCGACATTCATTCTAATAGGGATATATTAGGATTACAGGACAGCAGGTGAATACAAATATAACATCAGGTGTTTGATCCATTCCAAGCTTGAAGAATGTTTCAAGACATTCATTCATATCTAACTCATACCTATCTAAATATGCATTCCTCTCGCATTTTGTTGAACTTTATCTTGACCACTAACGCCTAATCCTATAATGCTTAATACAATTTTCTTCATTTATACAAAACACAATTGTATCCAACGTTTTATAAACAATCAAAGGCTCTTCCTTGTTTGAAAATAGGACAGTAAAAAAAAAAAAAAAAAAAAAAAAACACGAACCAAATGCCTGAAACACTGCTTAAAAAAAACAAAACAACCTGCTAAGAAGAAGTCTCTGAGGAGTAGGTTTCAATCTAGAGAGGCTCAACTGTCACAGGCCATGAAAATCACCCAGACAGCACAAAGCCCCAAAGGGAGCCTCTTTACGACCCTACGAGCCTACACTGAGAATTTTACCAAAACAGACATGCATTACCACTTACACCTGTCGCTGAGCTTAAGAGACTATCCGCTAAATGGATCTCTAACCTGCCCTTATGGGTCCAGTCTGCCGGTGAGGAGGGTTTAAGTCGAAGGATTGATTTTATCCGACGGTACAAAATGACAAGTCCAAACAATTTACTCTTCGAATCCAACGAAGAAAGAAGAGCAAAGCGGAAAATGAGGGGAAAATGAAAGAAATGACAGTCTTCTCTGGCATGAGCATGGATGTGCATGTGGGTGTGTCTGCATTGTGGGCGAACTTGTTTTTCCACAGCACTGCTATAGGGGTTGGAAACAGAGACTTCACAATTGTTACTTCTAAACAGGTTTTGTGAAACAAGGTGTGAGACACTCAGAGCCACCATTCCCCCCCCCCAAAAAACATATGCTCAGTGTGACTGCAGGCAATCCAACTGTAAGCTTCTTAATGAAGGTCCTTAATGGGGTTGTGTCTGTTTTCTAAGAGGATAGTGAATCAAAGATCCAGCAGGGAAAAAAAATTAATGCTACATTTGGAAAAAACAAGGATAAGATCCACTGAGAGTGAGAAAGAGTACAAAGCAAAAACATAATGTAAAAAAAGCAAAAAAAATAAACAAAAAAAAGCCTGAGTCAGCATCACTGTATAGCACAGAACTTCCCACTAGTTTGACTTTTGTAATATCCAATTTTTAAGCAAGAACCTACCACGGCTATGACCTTAAAGCCTAGACAGTCGTATAGAAAAGTCTGTTTTCCATACATTTAAATGCATTTTTTTCAACTGCAACCTTCACTCATAATACAGAAACACATAGGTGAATGTGTTTTTATTAGCGCACTAACAGCCGATCTTCCAAAACAAAATTATGCAGATCATGTCTATGATCCAGCGCGCAGGAACAGCCGCTCAAACACTGACAGAGATATTTCACTTTCATCTTCACAGCTACTTGGATAGCAGCAGTTGCAAATGCCTGCCAAACAAAGAAACCGGCTAAAGGAGAAATGACAAGGGTTCTATTTTCAGCCAAAATCCCCCACCGACCGCCCACATGCTCTCTCCTCTCGCTCCCTTCCTCTCTGGACTGTTCTGCTCTCCTCCTCACTGCTTTTTCTGCACAAGATTCCACCACGAAGTGCCTGGCCATCCCACAGATCTTTGTGTTGTGCTATAAACGCAGCATACTGGGCCAAATAACTCCTGAACTAGACCAGTTTGTCAGGGAGAACAAAGAGAGGTGAGGGTATTGGGACTCTGGGTCAGTTGGTGAGAGTGAAATTAGGAATGAGGGGGAGGTGGGGGGGGAATTCCTCTGGGAGCTGCATTCCCTCAGCACATCAGGCTATATCAGGAGCAGGAGAGGAGGGAAAAAACAGGAACTGATAAGGGGTGCAGTGGAAACAAAGAAAGCTGACTTTGCCGGGGCTCTTAAATGGTGAGGAAAGTGAAGGTGGAAAGGGACAAGGGAAACTTTGGCTCTTAGGAAAAAGGAAGCATATGCATGCACAAAAGAACACAAAGTAAACCATCGCAGAACTAAAAAGAGAAAATGTCTGTCTGGTAAAAAAGATAATGGATAAAGAAAAAAAAATCAGTGACCAGACAGATGATTTACATACTGCAATTGCCTCATTGACAAGTTTATAGGTGCTATTACTGGCTTTGTTTGTGCACTGGCCCCTGCTCAATAAAGCATAAAAATGCTAAGCTGCACAGTGTGCCCTTTGTGTGTGGAAACAAGAGTGGAGTGCTGAATTATCTCCCTTGATAAAAAGACTCGCAGACCTACTTCTATCCCATTCATTAGCTTGGACATGCCAAAGAATGTGTCTTCACTGAGGTGACAGCTTACAAGTTCCTAACCTGTGAATGTTTCCACACTTACATGCAAGCAGATAAAAATCAATTTAGCGCTGCATCTTAATAACACCGAGACAATATTGTGGCGTTGCTTAGCTTTTTTCTTTCTGCTCATATTTAATACCCACATTGGCATGTTTAAAATATATTTATGCTTGTATCGTGGTACGCATAGTATCACCATATTCTTGCCAATACACATTCCTGCTTTCCATATATACACGCTTCTCTAACTATACTGAATATGCTAGACAATAAATTCATATTTGTTTAAAACATTTTAAATGTATTGTGCTGAATAATTTTCAATCTATAGCTTAAAATGACTCTGAAGACAAATTCAGATCGGGCTGTTGACCCAGTTCGGATCTTGAGTTTTATATTTGCTATCATATATTACTGTTACTACAAATAAGAATATGCTCAACCGACAATTTATACACTTTGTTACCAGTTTAATAGAATAGAATAGAATAAAATAGAATAGAATAGCCCTTTATTGTCGCTGTACATGCACAACAAAATTGTTGGTGCTCCGCATCAACTGTGCCGGAATAAAAATGAAATAGTGGACAGCAGAAATAAATAGCAAACAGGAGAAATATATACAAAACAAGAGAAAGGCACACATTACAGAACCAGTTGCAAAGTGCTTGGAAGTACTGCAGAGAAAATACTTGATCTGAATAGAGTAGCTAAGGCTTGTTACAGGAATATATCCTACCTCAACAACGATTATAATGCACTGATTTCATTTTTAACTATTTTGCAGAAAGCTGTTTGTAGAAGGGCTGAAATGTATTGTTGTAGACTGACAGCTACAACACAACAAAGACAAACAATGAATAAGCTCAATTTTGTCCCACCATTTATACCAAGCTAAAAAAAACAAGCACATAATTGTGAGTATTTTGCAGAGCACCTTCATCTGAGCTGAATTCCCCTTTCTTTCCCATGGATTCACATATCCCGGCTATCTCATTCTTTGCTCTTATCTGCATCCAGCATGCCAGTTCTGTCACTCATGAGATCAATCTCTGTAAAGCAATGCAACATGACCCTTTGTACACAACAACTTTGTACTCCAGCCTTATTTTACCTGGCTTTAGTCTTTCCTGTATGGTTGCTGTCCCAAACTCTATACGGGAAACCAGCTTAATAAACCTAAAGCTGGCTGGACATGTGCATGGACCCTCATCAAGTTTTTTCCAGGCTCAGCCTTTTGGGGGATTGACTGCGCACATAAAAATGACTGGTTCAAATAAAGCTTGGACAAAGAGGTTTTGTTACCTTTTATAATGCTTGCATTTGCTTGTTATTTCTGGCCGTGCAATAATTAAAAATGGTTTTGTTTTTAAGATTGGGCAAACTAACCCCTACTTAGAAAATGCTGGTTAAAAATATTTTTGTCCTGGTGATTTTCCTTTGGTGAAAGGCCAGACCAACCTGTTGCAGGGAAAAACCCTGCTCATACTTCAGTTGTTTGAACAGCGTTAATGATGCGCACGTTTCCTTTGTTAGATAGTGATTCATAAAAGACGATCAGTTCTTTTTAGATGCTTAGTCCATTTGAACAATTATTAAACTTGATTGAAATATCATCAGATCACTGTGTGTTTATTTTTTTCTCGTGACTGCATACAAAGCAATTCAATTTGACTGCAATAAATAGACTAGAGTTTTTTAGCTTTCCTAACAGACAATTCAGTACCAGCTTTATTCCTGTTACCATGCAGCACAGCACTTAAATCTGCACTGTCTGCTGCATCAGCCACAACACACAACAAGACACTTCTTATCCGATGTAGATACAGAGCACTGATTTAAGTTAGTCATAACACAAAAATGAGAGGATACAAAGTGGTCGCTCTCATTCTCTCTCAAACAGAAGGGTAAACAAGTCTGCTCTTAGCTAGAGTGTCAATAAAAACTCTTACGGGCTCCATGTCTGTAGCTCAGTAAGTGCCCATGATCTCTAACCTGCATGTATAGAGGCTAAACACGCACACACACAAAGCTTTTCTCCAGACATACAAAGAACCGCTTTTCTCTTGAACTTTCTATAGCTGCTAAAGTTGGGTCTGTGTGGGAGTGTATAAGCCTACCTTCTTGGACACGTGGAAGGTTGGATTGGTCAATCTCCAGCTCTGCCATCACTGTCCTCCCTGTGCCCTTAAAGCCTCATGGTGATACAGAAGACTCTGGCAACAGAAAGAAATTGTTTCTTAATTAACATACAGCAAAATTAAGAAGCAATGAGTTTCCACGCCAGACAACCATAGTGAACTCGAACCTCAAATAAAACATTTGGTAATAAACATACTGAACAGATATTAACCCACTAATATTCGCCCACAGAGCTGATTACTCACTAACTAGCTGAGATCAATGGCTACCAGGAGCAACGCTACTGTTGCCATTAACTAAAGGTTAGAATGTAATGTAAACATAATTTGAAGGCCACTTGCAGAACAAAGTAAAATAACAGCAGCCCTACCTGTTCCCAGCACGCAGCCGCCCACGCACACACTGCAGTGTTGTGTTTGTACACAGCCTATTCAACAAGTACCAAACATGACAGCGAAGTGTCAACTTTGGAGTCGCTCGCACTTCTCCCTCCCTCTCTCCTTTCCTGTTTCTCTGTCTGTGCTACAAACTATGCAAAATGTCACGAGCACACTTGACCGTTTCTAACGCCTCTACTTTGGGTGTGAATTTTAAGCGAAAGCGGAGGTACTTGTTCATCACAGAAACAAAGACCCGTAGACTCGTGATGGTAAGCCAGGGCGGACAAACTTAGCCCACAGTCTGTCGCTCCGGCTGCTGCTTCTTCGCAGCTCCTGTTCGGCAACAGTGTGGGCGGTTAAAAGATGCTGCCTTTACGTGCAAACCGAAACTCGGGCTCTCGTCCATCACGAGCCACGGTATCTTAATAAAAATTCAAATGTATTGCCAAATGTTTTACCAGCTCTTTCATTCCAAGAAAAGCCCGTTTTCTTCGGTGGCAGAGGCAGAGGCAGGATAAAAGGTCGGTATAGAAAATAATAATAATAATAATAATAATACTGTAAGGAAAGAAGAGCTCAATTCAGGCCAAAGGTGATTATGAATTCAGATGGGACACGTGGTAGCAGGACACTGAAGTTGGTGACACCCATCGTGTATACTATTAAAGCTCCAGTAATGCTGTCCAGGCCTAAGCATACATAGTTGTTCAGCGAGTGAATTTGTATTTTTCAACAGTCCTTGAAGGCATCTCAAATGTTCCAATTGCTCACATTTTCCAGAGCGGCATAGGCTATACTTTACTATGTATTCTTTTTATTGCTGTAGTTTGAATATAGTAGGCTGTGTTTATTGGTTTCATTGCAAAGCATGGAGATGGGAAAGAACGGAAAGACATTTGAGAGAGGGAGCTGAGGAAGGAATCTATCTGTCGAATTCAAAGCTGATAATTAATTTCACTCAACATCTGCTTCAAGAAAAAAAAAACTAGATTTGTGCAGAAATAATAGGCAGAACTAACATTTCCTGCAGTGTACAAATAATAAGCCAGACTGATAATATTGGAGAGAGACAGCTCTGACTAAGAATACGATTCCCCCCTTAGAAATACATTTAAACCCAATTTACTGGCAATGTGTAAAATGACAACTATTAAACGTAACGTTTCTAAACGTAACGATGCCCTCTGCTGGCTGCGTTTGTGCCGCTGAAATATTGGCAAGTTAGAAAGAAATCTCTGGTCTCGTAGTTGAAAAGGATGGCAATGTTTGGATTGTCATAACTTGTTGATGTGAGGCGTAGTTTTAAGATGCATGATTTTCAGGAGGTTTAGACAGTCAGATGTTTTCAGGGATAAAGGTTGGTAAATAAGGGCATATTAACCAAAAAACAAACAAGCATGGGAATCAGATCAAGAAGAAGAAGAATTCAACTTGAGAGTATCAAAGAAATAAACAGATGGAGAGAAAGAGATTGGGCCGGAGGGGGTCTCATTCAATTCAACTAGCACATGGCGTTTCCACCTGGTGGTGACCACATTTTTAGCAGGTGTTAAGCCAGCGAAAAGCATCTTTCTAGACTTTGTGTGGTGCATGAAAAGTAGTCACCCGAGGCTATTCCCATACCATGAAATAAAAGGCGTCACTTGTGTCTATTAGCCTCTTTCTCTGTATGCATCGCCAAGACTATGAATGGCCTTGTTATACCACACCTAACAATGTCCAAATATGAAATTCCTTCTTTGTGTTTTCCTGCTCAGTATTTTATTATGGAGCTGAGATGGAGAGATGGAACTTTCAGTTGTGTCTGTCAGGCTGAAGGACATCACGTCTGACACTGTGGTCAGCAGCACAGGAGCACCACAGGGAACTGTGCTGTCCCCTCTTCTCTTCACCCTGTACACCTCTGACTTCTGCTACAACTCTGAATTATGCCACATTCAGAAGTTTGCAGATGACACAGCCATCATGGGGTGTATCTGGGATGATCAGGAAGAGGAGTACAGAAGTCTGGTGAGGAACTTTGTCGCATGGAGTCCCACAAACCACCTGCAACTCAACACCTCAAAGACTAAGGAACTGATTGTGGACTTCGGGAGGTCCAGAGAAGGTCCACTGCCGGTTCAGATAGAGGGGGAGGAGGTGGAGGTGGTCAACAAGTACAAGTACCTCGTGCTGTGGGTGGACAATAAACTGGACTGGTCATGCAACACAGAGCACCTGTATAAAAAAGCCCAAAGCCGACTGTACTTCCTCAGGAGGCTGAGGTCTTTTAACATCTGCAGGAAGCTCCTGAGGATGTTTTACCAGTCGGTGGTTGCTTGAGTACTTTTCTAAGCTGTGGTGTGCTGGGGGAGCAGCACAGCAAAGAGGGACTCATCTAGGCTGGAGAAACTGATCAGGAAGGCTGGCTCTGTGGTCGGCATGAAGCTGGACACTCTGGTGACAGTGGCAGAGAAAAGGACACTAAAAAAACTGCTGGACATTATGGACAATGCTGGGCATCCTCTGCACACGGCCATAAACAACCAGAAGAGTCTGTTCAGTGACAGGTTGCTTCTCCCCAAGACAAGAACTAACAGACTTAAAAACTCCTTTGTCCCACACGCCATCAGACTGTTTAACTCCTCTCTGGAGGGGAGAGGGAGGGGAAACAGGAGGACAAAGGAGGGGGGAACAACTAAGCTGTAGTGCCTCTTCACCTCACTGTGCAATACTTGTTTGTTATGTGTGTGTGTGTGTGTGTGTGTGTGTGTGTGTGTGTGTGTGTTGTGTTTGTGTGTGTGTGTGTGTGTGTGTGTGTGTGTGTGTGTATAATATTCTGTAACTGTAACTTCTGTCGGTGCTGTGCTTTTGGAAACCGAATTTCCCAGAGGAACCCACCCGAGGGATTAATAAAGTTTTATCTTTTCTTATCTCTTATCTTATCTTAAAGGTTCTCAGTCATCCAGGTCATCGTAGTCTAAGGAGCTTGGAAAGAAAAGTGTCTGGACTTCTTTAACCTCCTAGGACCTGGTGTGTAGACATCACATTTTGGGTTGTCTAGAGCACAATACTAAATTTTGCCCAATCAGCCCAAATAGCAAAGAGAAATTAAAAATGCATGCCATGAAAGAGTTTGAGTCTTTTTTCCCAGATTTTAAGCTCCATGGGAGGGTTGTCGACCCCCTATTGATCCTCTACCTAATCACGAGAGCCAAGGTGTGAAAACGGGTGTGGGTCACAATCAGCCAAGGTTTCGGGTGAACCCACAGAGAAACCAGCCCAACCCTATCATGTGATTTACTGAGAAATTTCAGTTGTCTAATTCAGCCAGATAAAATCTTATACATGCTTCAAATAAACTTTAGTACAATCTCAATTTCCAAAAGTTGTGATGCTGTGTAAAATGTGAATAAACCAAACATCATTTTTGCACATCTTATAAATTCATATTTTATTCACACCAGAACATAAAAATGTGTAAACAGACACGTTTTACTGATTTATGAAAATTTTATAGCTCATTTTGCAATTGATGGCCACAACATGTCTGAAAAAAGTTGGAAGAAGGCTAAAAAAAAGGCTGAAAAGGTCAGTGGTATTAAAAAGAAGCAACTGGACAAACATTCTGAACTGGAAACAGGTCAGTAACATGATTAGACATAAAAAGAGCATCCTAAAGAGGCAGAGTATCTGGGAAGTAAAGATGGGCAGAAGTTCACCAATCTGCGAAAAACAAAAACTGCATCTAAAAATTGTGGAAAACTTTGAGAGTAATGTTCCTCAATGTAAAGTTGGAAAGATTTTGAATATCTCACCATCTACAGTACATAATATCATTCAAAGATTTAGTGAATATGGCGATCAGGCGACACTGCATTAAAAATGCTATTATAAAATGCAATTAAAAATGTTTTCCCAAAAACACCGATGCCTGGAGGAAATTCTTGATTAAATTGTCAAAAGGACTGCATAGAGTAGGAAAAACATCAAGTTTGGGGGAGCCATAGTCTATTATAGATGCTGAAATAACTTGGAATTGGCACACTGGCCTCGACTAATTCAGAATATAAATTTTAATTGCATTTCATGATATATAGCAACACCTAATGGAGTGTCTGGCATGCAAAGCATAAAATAAAATGTCACTGTTGCTTCATTGGCTCTCATTATCAGGGACTGAACGCTGATGTCATACATCTAATAAATATACAAATTACACAGAGAGGTGCAAAATATGACTTTGTAAATAACTGCCCCCCCATCCCCCATCACCCATCTCATACTCAATAGCCAAGCCTCTGTTAGGCTGAGCAGTGATGCTTGGTGTACTCGTAAAGTTTCGTTTTACTGCATGACTAAGACGTGAAAGCACAGATATAAAAGCTTAAAACCGCCAGGCTTCTAAATAAAATGCATCAATCAGTCTGATTCAGTGGTCCATGGAAGCATTTTCTTGTTGTCTTAAAATGTCAGACGGCTTATAGACAACATGGCCCTCAACATTTTAACATGTCCACTCCACCTCTCTAAATAATTACAGATTTATTAGGGGTTTGCTGGGCTTTGTTTGCAGAGATACAGCCAGAGGATTCAAATGGTCCAAGAGTTTAATGAGCTAGTAGTATAAAAATATTAGTCATTTGTCTGCCCTGTTTCTCCATCTGCTCCCTCGTGGGATTACACTGACGTGACATCTTAAACACCTGCCTCGATATCTTTTACAAAGTCAGTAAAAAAACATTCAATCAACCTTAAGAGCAGGTAAAATATGACTATGCCCTTGAAGAATGGGCCAACTCACATCTTTTTTTTATTGAGACTATAAGTCACCTGTTGATTTATCACAAGAGTGCGACTCTGGATGATGTTGTCGTCCGTAGCAGCAAGAAAAGGTCTGTGTCTGCTGTGCATCATGCAGGAAGTGGGTGGGAAGGGGTTAGGCTACAGCTTCAACTATATAACACCGTTAGGATCAGCAGAGCACGTAGATTTCTCCTTTTCACCCTCTGTGCAAATCAGAGCCACTTCCATCAGCACTGATGAAGTGTAACCATCTTCTCTCCTGGGCCTTTGTGCTTGTGGCCTCAAGCCCACTGCTGGCCCACCCCATTACAGAATCTGCTGAGATGCCGTATCCAGGACCTGGTGAGTGGAAAGTAATATCTTTATTATAGCTGTTATACAAAGTAATTCCCTGTGTCAGTCCCTTGATTAGCATTTTTAGTAATAAAACATAATTTGCAACGATTAATGGCAAGCTAGTCATGTCCTGGGGCCTTGAAGTAATTACTTTAGAGCTGCAGTGTTGAACAATGATTGCTCTGCCAAAGTTCACATGCCAAAGTTCTGCCATCAGAGAGGAGATTGAGTTTTTGTTCAATTATTTCGAATGCTTTATTGTGATTACCAGTGAGAATTAGATTACAAAATGTTCACAGCACGAATCCGTACCTCTCAATGGTGTTCCTACCAACTGTGTGGGCTTGTTTGGTTCTCCTCAGTATCAGCGGAGGACCGAGGAATCAGCAGTCTGGATGACCTGCCTCTCTCTGAGCAGGACGGTACAGGCCCTAGATATTCCACTCTAATATCTGGCGAGATCAACAGAGATGGTAAGAAACGTGCATTGACCAAACGTGACTTTACATGACATAATTTTGCAGAAAAGAGTGTGCTTTAGATGTGGATTCATACACAGTTACATAGTAATATGCTTACTAAAGCACTACTTATTTTTAAAGCTCATTTGCACATTTTGAGCTTCATATACTTCATATGCTGTGTTCTGCTAGAGTAGCTTTGCCCCTTTCAAACAGAGGCGAGTGCCTGAGATGACCAAATGAACATATCTATGTACTTTTATGAGATCCCCTATTTTCACATCATGCAGATCTAAGAGCAGAAAAAATAGTCTGACAATGAGCACACAGGGCCTAAACTTTAGGGTCACAGGAATTACTTGCACATACAAACCATGGCCGTGTCTAACGTTAGCAACCATCATCATAAGAGTAGAAAAAGTACAGTACATCTGTTTTAAATGAACTCTACTGACATTCACAGAAACACAGCTAAGCTATCAGCATATGTTTACCATGTTTTCTTTTCTCTCAGGTGTCAGAACAACAGGTCTGCTTCCTAGGGGGCTCAAAAGAGAGGTAGGTTTTCAGTGAATGTTATTCCTAAAACATCAAAGTAATGTGAGCAACACCCTGTGAATAATTCACTAAATCGCTTTATCTTGTCTTTCAGGTCCTGTTGGAGAAACAAAGTCTCCTAAATCCTTTCAGCCATGTGCTGGGCATCCGGAAACAGTTCAGGAAGAGAGGAGGGAATTCAGAGTGTTTCTGGAAGTACTGTGTCTAAAACAGTGGCTGAAAACAGGCACGAGGCAGGGCTTGCACTGAAAGAAAAAAAATCAAACATCTTACACTCACACTGGCACATGCAGCCAAAATAAATAAGAAATACCTCACATGCATAAAGTGCATGTGCAGTCGCACACCCTCACACGCGCACACAGACATACACAAAATGCCCCATCTGTGATTGAAACATATTGCTAAGGGGCTTTCAGATGATTTATTAGGGTTTAGTTAGAACTGTGAAATGCACATATAAAGTCATTGGTTGTCCAATGTATGGCTAAATTTCTTTTAGACGTGAAAGTCAAAGATTATATAGCACTGTTCGTTGAACAGAAATAAAAAATATTGTAAATAAATCATGTATTTGTCTTTTCTTGGTAAAAGGTGAACCCACTATGCCTTCCGTAAATTAAGAAAAAGGAAACAAAAAGACTTTGCAAAGTTGGTTCTCGAGTTTTCTTCATTTTTTCCTTTTTTTATTATTTTACAGCAGAAAGAATATAAAGCATTCAGAAAACATCTTCCATATTTTAAGGGCAATTCAAAACGTTTTGCATGGCTTCAGCAGCTGAAATCTCTTTTTTTTTTTTTTTTAAACATATCCATCGAGTCAGTGACGCTTGTACATGCACAATTACAAAAATAAAACTTACAAACAAGAGAAGGGGAGAAAAAGGAGGAAAGCAAAACACATTAGGAGAACCAAGAGGACATGAAACTTTTAAAGATAGGGGTTGGGAGCGGAGAAAAATTGGGTCACATAACAGGGAAAGACAGAGAGAAAGACAGCTATAGAGGAGAGGAAAATAGATCTAACACTAGTTCACATGCAAAGTGTCGAGGACCCATGGCTTTCTATCAAAGCAGGGCCTTTTTTTTTCTTCTCAGTTTGGAATTGATGAAAACGTGCAGTTCGGTAAAGGGTGCCATATAATTGCTGTCCATAAACTACTGAATGCTTGTCTTGCAATACTGGCATTTGCATAAGAGTAAGTCGACTACATGTGTCCAATCATTTTAAACTTTGCTAGGTCTATAAGGTCTCCACAAAATAGTTCTTTATTGCTCTGTGTCAACAAGTGGAATATACTGTAAATCTGTTTGTGTTCTGTTGTCCTGATGTGCCTACCTTTCTCTGGTTGGGGTGCTTCGGAAAAAGAAGAGGAGGAAAGGCAGATTCTCAGGTCAATTCACAGAACATCTCGAAATTAGTAATACTGTCAGCTAACCTGCCGTCCCATTCACAAATGGCAGTAAAAACAAGATTTAAGCTTTTCATACAGCTACACTCTTAATCATAAATACCCTCTACACTGTCACCTAAATGAATTATAAAGGCCTAAAGAAGTGGCCAAAGTTACACAATAATATGACAGCTTTCTACGAAAAAGCGTCAAATCATTTATCTTAAAGACATATACATAAACAACCATCATTTCAGGGCTCGAGTACTGTGTGTACTGAGGTTATTTTGAGGAAACTGTTCATACACTACAGCAAGCCGTGTTAAAGATTTCACTCTTGCACTGGTGAACCTGTTTGTCTGCTAGAAGGGGTTTTGAATTTCAGCTTCTCTTGCTGTGAATCACATGTCCTGCTCTGTTTCCTCCTCCCCGTTTTGGCACCCTGAGTAAAATGCAGAAGGGAGGTGAACCAGTCCCTCAGTCTGGGTAAAAATAAATAAATAAATAATAACAATGCTGCCTTCACCACTCAATGTACAAGTGAAATTGACACCTGACATGTCAGCATGTGTGCTGTGCAGTGTCTTGTGCGTGTGTTTGTGTGTACCGTGTGTCACTTAGTTGCTATATATACTGTCACAATGTCTCTACCCTTGTCCTTTTGTCTTATTTGAAGTTGGGAATCTACTGATTAAAAAGGATTTTAAAAAACAAAAACAAAACAAAAAGTTAGAGCTTGTCTAAAAACAATCCCGTCCTCATGCTTTGCCATGAAATCATCAGTAGCTACTGAGTATTGATCACTGGCTCAATTAGTAGGTTTGCCCTTCAGTCACATGCCCTCTGTCTTTCTGAGTTCTGTGACACCTCAAACCAATGTTCATTGCTTTACAGAACAGTAAGTCCTTTAACAAGTCTATCTGACTACCGATTCTAGGAAAATAAGCATGCTTTAGGTGCACTTCTGTCACCCAGTTAACTATTTTACCCATGCAAGCATAATAAATCCTTCTCCTTTTTGCCGCAACATTGCATTGGCTACGCATTCTAACCACAGACTAGAGGATGAATGCAAGGCAACAAACTCCAGTAGTGGCATTTCTAAATGTGGTTTTTAACAAGCTGTTCCAACAAAAAATGGAAAAGAAGACAAAAACAAAGAAAGAAAAAAGCTAGCATGTTGACAAGCTTGAGTGCTGTATTATAAGTGTTGTGTGCAGGCATATAATTGTGGCTTTGGTGAGTGGAATGGTATAACAGTGGCGATCGTGTGTATTTATGTGGAAGATAGAGCACTGTCTGTGGGTGACCGCGTTCTCTCACATCAACCTCAGATACAATGCAAGTATTCTGAAACTGGATTACTGTTTTTAGGATATGAATATAGGCACTTCCTACATAAACACTCTGGAAATTACGTTTACATATCAGGTGACTGGAAAAACAACAGCAAAAAACAAACAATTAAAAAAACAGTGACTCAAGTAAATAAATTGGAAAAATACACATTTGGCTTAATTATAATTTAACAAACATGACAACAGTTCACTAAACAAAACTCAAGTTTTCCAGTGGCACTTGGCTGAATAATCACGTATCAATACTTGGATACAGGATAGACTTTATGGTGGTAATATATAATAGGGATTAAACAGCAGCCAACAGGCACCTCTGAACCAGCAGCTTTACTGTTGTTATCTCTCAAATTGTTCCTCCATCCCAATTACATTTTCTCTGCTATACTATCATTTTATAAATAACCCAATGCACAAAATGCATCTTATCTTTCATAATTACAAATGGCACTAGTGCACTGGTTTGCACTTTAGTTTCTGCAGTTGTTTGGACTCTGTAGTGAGGACAGTGACTACTTTCAGTGCCATCCTTCTGTTTAGAATCATTTTAGCACCTTTGACTGCTGGCACAGTTCATTTTGCAAACTTGTTTTCAGCTGCTTGGCAAAGAAATGTGGTCATGGACATAATGCTACATGTGGTTTTTAACTAAACGCGTTTTTCTGACATGGAATACAACATATACATTTAGACTCTGGCAGCCTTGATCCAGTGCTTTTAACCGAAACACCGTACAGAGAAACACCCGTCACTACTCGACTACGAGGAACAACTCTGAATTCTCCAAGTGTCGGTCGATGCAGCACATTGTAAATTAAAGTTTGCATGTTTACTCCCATCTTTTTCAGGGACAGAGTAACAATGTGAATTGTTTTATATGTCCACCACGGGCAAGGCTGCCATTTACAATCTTAAAGATCAGATAATACCTCAGCAATGAGAAATCAGCACATTCCATTTGCAATGACAACAAAAAAAGTAACTCAACTTTGTTACGGTGTGTTCGGTGATTGATAAATGCTCTATTTATCTGTAGAAATGGTGCACGCGTGACAGACTTAAATGCTTTCAGCACGAATATGACTTTCTTTGCAAACTGTGTACCTCAACGTTTTTGCGATCCTCTGCCAGTTTTGATGTGATGATCTTCAGTGCTAGTGTGTATTTCACTGGATGATTATCTGTTCTGCAAAAATTAACTTAATTTTCTTCTTAAGCTATATAGCATTCACATACCTTGGCACCATTGGCAAAAGGTTCTTGGTAGCCCAAAAGAAAGAAATGAAAATAAAATAAAATAAACACAACCATACTTGTTTTAAGATAATTTTGAAGACTTCTCCTAACACTAAATACAGTATTTTTTATTTTTTCATATTGCAATAATATCATGCTTTAGCAAAATGTTCTTCTCAAGAACAATCAAAATAAAATAAAATACTCTAATAGTGAAATAGTTTTAATTTTACAGAGCATAGCCACTACTGCTTTTGTTGTTTTTTTCCCTTTTGACTCTGTTCATACTTTTCATGCACATAGCTCATTTTTATCCCAGGTATTTACACTATATACAAACAATACAACCATACTTCTTAGGCATTCAAACGAAACTATACAAATATTCTGTTTTTGTCTCTTACCTGTTTTTGACCCATTTTAATGAATAAAATAATATATTTCTAAAATACAATCCCCCTTGGGTACATGTTTTTTTTTTAATCCCTACGTACTTTCAGCCTTCTTTATATACAGAAATCGCTCAATTGTCAAAAATATGGATTTGTCAAACCCCTATTTTGGGACAAGCTTAGGGACCCCTCAAAGAATCTCTAAGACGTCAAGGCAATGTATGTGATCTTCCCCTCAAAAACCTTCACAGGCTCTGAAGTTCACTTCAAAAAAACAGTAATAACCTGCATGACCATAACCATTACAACACAAAATAAGCCAGGTTTTTTTCCACTTTGTAGGTTTCGAAGAAGCAATCAAACCAACAAGGCAAACCAAAATGAAATACAAAGAAATCAGACAATACAGGGATAGCTTCATCAATGAAATGTTGGAATTCATAGAGAAGAGTACAGATATGTGGACCAATAGAGTGGAAACAAAACCAAAACCAGAGGATAGGCTGAAAGACTAGACCAAAGCACACAAGCAAAGACTTTTCTTGCCAAGAAGTCATGCATTTTTTTCTTGGTAGGATTTAACAACATATAGCCTGAAGATACAGATCACCAATACATTGGACATGATGGAAGAAATACATTGGACAGTGTGGAACAATTCAAGTAATAAAGTGACAATATATATATGATAAAGCATAGTTGTTTTTTTTTAAAGAAATCTTAAAACAAATATTTGATCCCCCATCTGCTTCAGTATGGTAAACCCCCAACTACATTCATTTGTAGCTCCACCTGTGTGGGTAGACTGGTGGGGTAGAGCACAGTGGGACAGGAGGAATTGTTGAGCTAAGCTGAATATTAATCTACAGCAGTGGATAGAAGTGGGCGTGTGGGTTATTAATATATTTGGTAAAAAAAAATCCCTTCTTCAAATGAATTGATTGGTCACTTAAAAAATTATGAAATACAATTAGAGCTCAGAGTATTTCGGCATGGTCTCTCTGTCCTCTGAGATCTTCTGCAGCAGCCACAGTTTACACCTCTTGTCCCGCGTTTGCTTCCTTCACTGTCCAAATCCTCTTCATATTCAAAAAAAGACAAAGCAATCCATGAAAAAGTGCAAAAAATGCCAAGAAGCTAATGTTCTGCACCCCCACCCCTACCCTTTTAGTTTATAATCCTGTAGAAGTTGCCACTCTCCAACCAAAATCA